CATAATTCAAGTACTCATTATATGGTAACATACGAGTGAAGGAAAAGAGTTAATTTAAGTTTGTTTGAAAGTGAGAGTGAGAGTTGAAAAGTAATCGTTGCAAAGGCGAAAAATGACAGAGATATTGCATTGCAGAGATGTGTGGAAAGTGCAGTTTATCAGGACGAAGTGGAGTCCGATAAATGGCAATTTTTCGCTGTTTTCCAAAGGCACTGTTGGCCGCCATCGAAATAGGACTGGAAGAAGAGATCGGCCATACACACGTCAGCAATGAACCCATGATGATACCGACAGCATAAATCCCGATCGTTTCTTTTTGCTCACACATCCTTGCTCCATGATTCTGGCACCTGTGGCAGAATCATGGAGCAAGGATGTGCGAGCAAAAAGAAACGATCGGGATTTATGCTGTCGATATCATCATGAGTTCATTCAGCTCACTATCTTATTCCCAATTCGTTTCCTTCCTTACTCAGCAACCATATCTTAAAAAGTGTGATTGAAAGAGATTTATCCAATTTCAAATTCTCAACTTTCTTGTCAACTGTTTTTCTCTTGCAATTCACAATTCTTCACAAGCAAATCAGTAATGTATTCGTCTTCTTGGCTCACCTGATATTTCTATCCTTCCATGAGCGAAGAAAGGAGAAAAGTGCGGCGTATTTACTTTTTACTTATTGAATATTAGTACCTAACTGTTTGGATCCCGTGTTCTATGGTGATGCATGGTTTATGAAGCAGTTGCAATATGAAATAAATTTGTCGAGATTTACAATAACGTTTCAAAACGAAATTCTTAGCTTTTGAAAAGAGCATCACAACTGCTATATAAATAGTTCAAATAATAAAGATCATTGAGATCTTCCGATTCGCAAGCGATAGGATCCCTCGAGAATTATAAACTACAGTTTATGATAATCCGTTTAAATTTCGTGAAGCAATCAAAGATTTATCAAAAAATGCATCTTTCTTTCTCATAATTGATTTCTGCAGTAAACTGCATAACAGTGATTTGACATGGAGGAATGGATGTCAACAGAGAATGTCTCAACCACTTTTGTAAATAACAGTCTTGTCGATGGAAAATCAAAGGGAACGATAAGAGGAAGGAGATCCAGCTCAGGTTGGATGCCTAAATACAAGTAGATAACATGAGTAACCAGCTTGGTGTATTTTAGTCAAGAAATGAATAAGTGCATCATTTCAGACAAGAAAAATCAATCAACAAAAAACTGCCCGATTTCATCTGTGCATTCCCATAATTTTTTCAATGTGCCAAAAGTATAAAAAATCGAAAACAACAAAAATTGATCTCATAAAGTCTTTAACTTAAAAAACACATCTTAAACTGCTCTTAAGCTGCTCTTTGCCAAGGATGACATACGATTTCAAGTATTGTTAGTAGCAAAAAAGGGCAGAAAAAACGATGATAGGGAGGGAATTTAATTTTACCTGAAAACATTCATCATAAAATAAGACTTAACATAATCTGTCCAACGAACAGTGTTACGATCAAAATTGCTTTGCGGACAATAAGCGAACTTGTACACTAAAGGACTCTGTTAATCAGAATCGCTCCGTAAAAAAGTGAAAACAAGCTGGAGTATCAGAATTCATTAGGATATCAGCAATTTCAGCAATCATACCTATTGTTCTGAATGCCCATAAAAGCTGTTTTAAGATTTTTGATCGACTACAATCTCTTTCAGCGACTTCTGTCTTCTTGGCTTCTCAGCTACTTGCTACTTATTTTTCAGTAACATTAAAATATTGGAACCAAAAAGCACTTTTTAGAAAATTTGTTTTGAAAAATAACTACACTTTGCTGTCGAACTAATGCCAACTCATTTATGATCATCTCTTAATATATTTTACAAGTCTGAGAAACGCTTTTCCACAACTGTTTCAGGCTTTCTATTGCATCTTCCTCCTCTTTTTCGTTTTTCATTTCTTCCTAGAATTTTCTTTCCACTTATTGCTTCCATAAATGAGAACACGAGGTTTTGCAATCGAAAAAAGACTGACATGTCACCAGGATATGCAGAATGATTCCTACTTCGATAATATGCTTAATAAAATATGGCTCTGATGAGTATATTATGCTAAAGGGTGATGACGAATATTATCGCTTTTTGAAAATACAAACATCGATGCAGATGACACAAGGAAAGATTGATAAGTTAGCAATGAGTTTTCTGAGGTTGCAATCAAATTACCAAAAGAAAAATTGCTATTGGATTATTGAATAAATGGGAAATCGTTTACTATTTTCAAATCTGTTTACTTTGAAAGTGTTAAAATCATTTCGTCATATTTACGGAAAGAAAGAAGATGGAGATAAAATCGCTCACGATAATTTGATTCGTTTTCTAAATGGAAAGTTAACTACTCAGAATAATGGACAAAATTTTATTATTTGATGCTTTTTCACTTTTTGTAATTTTGTTATTCTTTTTTTCTCTTAATTTATTTGAGCACATTAAAAGATGATTGCATTCAAATTGGAAAAATAAACATTGTTTCATTTAGCTATGTTTGTTGTAAAAAAAGCTCGGAAATAAGTCAAATGATTTATAGTTAAATTAAGCTAAGAGTTTCATCCATTTTTAATGTATTCAAATTACGAGCATATAGCGAATAAATGAAACAAATTATTTCCTTTCTTTTTTTAAAAATTACTTTGTTGGAATTGGCAAAGCAAAATACTTGACAAATCAAATCGTTTATTATTTAAAAGCCAAACGGCAGTAAATAAAGAATGCGTTAAAATTACGTTTCTGCCTATTAACTGCTTTTCCCAGCAATGCAAATATAATCAAATCCCTCCCCCAGAAGTTTAGGATGTTTCATATCTTGCAAAAATTTGGATAATTGGAGAATCATTAATGAGACTTTAACTTAATCAACAGTACACCTTGTATTATTTTTCAGATTAATTTTTCCCCGCTTAAAAAGCACATCTTAACACTACATGATCCAAAGGTTCTTTGGACTTTCTCATTTTCAGATAAATATCATAAATGCACACATATCAAACAGAAAAGTTTCCTTTTTCATTTAAAGGGCATGCAGACATTTTGTCCTGAAAGCATTTTAAACTGCACCATCTGAAAACTACGACGGCTATTTACGCTAAGGGACAAAACTGAATTTCAGTGACAATATTCCGTTTCGGAATTTATAAACGAAGAAGCATGCTTGAGGGGATATTTATTTTTGTGAATGTAATAATTTATGGTTAACATACGAAAAATTTAGAACAAATCAAATCAAAAATTTTTCAGATCTCTGAGCGTGGGGAATGTTAAAAAAAGCGATCTAAAGTTTCATAATATTCTAATAACAATGAAGTTACGCGAAGTTAGGTATCAGCTCAGTAATTTCTAGAAATGCTAAAGACTTCGAATTGAAACGCTGAAGAAATGTAAAACATTATCGCGACCAAAGAGAAAAAAAGAAATACTGTTTCAATGAAAGAAACCAACTTTCTATAACCTGACAAAAAAAGTAGAACAAACATATTAGAATGGGTAAAAGTGGAAATTGGAGTAAAATAGTTTTAGCAATGTAGCATGAAAGAAAATGAAATAAACTATATACTCGAAAATGATTTCAGTCAATCCATATGCTTGCTGATAATAATTCAAACTCCAACCGACATGTTTTTTATATGTTTTTAATTATGAGTAGTAGAGAAAAGAGCTTTTATGCTATTGCGCTTTTATTCACTCAAAGGGTCATTCAATTTCTTATGAACGATAATGGTTGACGATTTCATCACTTACTAAGTGGATATTTTTTCGGAACTACTAAACAACTTGTTCAACTACATTTCTTTTCCATTTTTCTATTCAATATCTCGTGATGCGAAAGATGTCATCGCCTCGTTTGTAGGAGTGGAACAGTTGAAATGGATATCTTTTAATAAAAACAGAGTTTATTGTCAGCTGAAACTTTTAAAACTCAAGAAGAGCTGATTGATGGGAATTCTACCAATTAGCAATTTGATCGGCGATGATCGCCAATTTTCTGAAGTTGGATTCAAATTAAAATGGTCAAGATTCATTTTTCGCGCAATTCCTAATTATCACAGCTAGACATCTCTACACACCAGACTCTGCCATTACACCGCTATTCACGTCACTTTGTATATTTCCACTCATAATGGAACGCTATTGTTTGGTACTGGATCAACTAGGTGTTCACGCTAATTTCAATTTTCCACAATCCTTTCTAACATGCTTGAATTCGAATGAAGTTTCCATAAATGACGCAGGATATGCTTTAAAACAACTTAACTTGACCGATTTCATATCACTATAAAGTGGGCTAAACTTCAATAACAAATGAGTCCACGGCTATCAAAACTTAACAGTAATAATAGACAACAATAATAAGATATCTGAACTACACGTAATAACTACAGAGCACTACAACATCCAGTCGATCTAATCAAAAATAACAACAAAAGTATTCTTTTGTTTTAAATGGTAACCTTCGCACAAATGCCATTACATCTTCCTTCTGCGAAATTGAATTGCATTTAAAAAAAAGTTAAACCACTGTGATAAGATATTTCAGAGAATTAAATGAGAGGGAGAAGCAATTTTTGTGATAGAACTAGGTAATATTAATTATAAACAAATTATAAGTCTTTGTGGCGCTAGTAAAACGTCCACAATTTTTCCAATTTTGTGGAATGTCATTTTGTAATATATTTACTGAATACTAAGGATTCAATGGCTGTCGAACTGTCGAAATACTACACAGTTGCCACTTAATTAATTTCATCATTTAATTTCTCAGAATCAACTGAGGAGAAAAAAAAGGGAAGCAAAATGTATACTTTATGTACAAATTCTGTAGAAAATTATGGCATGAAGACAATGGGTAGTGTATTTGTGTTGCATTGGCCAATAAGACTGATTGAAAATTTCAAGTTGGCCTTTAATAACCGCTTCACATCCACTTCAAACTAATGCCTTCGTATAGCCCAATTCTCAAACATATTTTGCAAAGAATGACATCTCATCTGCAAATATTGGTTTTACGATGAATTCTATGCTATAACAATTATATTCTGCGAGAACTCTTAAGCAGGCCAGAAAAGAGTACTTCAATTCATAAACGTTATGCAACAACATTACAGGCATAGGCCTAAGCTTAGCTATAATTTCCTAGAAATAATCAACAACGAATTATGATTTTCATAATAACTCTCTAAATAATGTAACTTTTAACGATTGTATCAAACAACTCACCTCTTGTTCGATAATGAGCTAATATTAGTTCCGATTCTGTGCAGCGTTCTTTAACTCCTTCTTGAACTTATTCAAAGAATTTACTTATTAGTCATGGACTTATTAGTTACGATTCAAAGAATCGTAATTCCTTTAATGTATATGAAATGGCTAAATTTGCATTATCTTCACAAATATATCACAAAATAACAAACCAACAAAACATTCGCAGGAAACTCGTACATTAAGGTTGAATTTTTGCCATATCTGACAGTCGTCTGTACCAACGTTCTTCAATACAACGAAATTCATATGCTTCTGCGTGCATTTTCCATGAGCTGAAATGCCGATTCTTTATTTGAATGCAGCTAAATCAGTTCGAAAACAACTCTATCACTCAGAATTGCATGATAGGAGAGGGGACAATACAGTATGGATGTGAATTTCAGAAATATCGTGCACCAATGATAGTAAGCCTGAGGTCTGTGTAGCAAAATAAAATATATTGGTTCAATGTACGTTGTTCTCTAGATGAATTGAGAAGAAACGCAAACGCACGAAAATCATAAAAATAAAGACAAGCTTTGTCATCATCACACATCACTTCGTTGATAAACGGTGGAAAAAATGTATCCGGTAATCGACGTATCGCCTGACAAGCACCACACAACCTCAAGTAACCGTCTTCCTCACTACCTCGCTTATCACACCCAAATGGTATCACATGAACATCCCCTAAAATTTTCAAGAAATTAGAGTTTGAACGTAAATAATCAAGCAACACGTTTAGGTTTTCGAAATAATACTCTGAAAATTTAACAAAACTAATTTACTAAAAATTCTTCAATTTAATGAAAACTTATAAGAAGAAACTTTAGAAATTTCGGGATGCAGCGATAAATCTCAAATTCTCTGCTTAAAAAAAGCAAACCGAAAAATAACCAATGAGTTTCTGGCGTTTACGCATTATTAGATCTCCTCTGGTATAAGCATCAACGGCCCCTGATGCTATCAATGAGTCGATGACACTCTCAGCGGTTCCACGCTTGTTTCGCTCTAGTTCAGAATCCATCATACGTATGGATGGCGATATAACCGTTCGTCGACTTTCCGTCCTATACACATTTCTAAACTTATCACGTAGGAGCATAGAAAAGAAAGCATCTATCCCAAAAGTATTGCAGAATATGACCTATTGAAGACATTTTTAGGCTCAACAAAATTTATAAATTATTATTTTATTTTTAACTTTACGGAGCTAAAAGGATTCCATGCTGCGTTTTATTTGTGGCAAATAGAGATGCTATTTGCTATCAGATGTTCAGTTAAGTAGAAGATACGATAATCATTTACACGAAACTTTAAAAAAAAACATGTTGGATTTAAAATTATAAAAAAAGTGGCAGAAACAGTGTGATGTATGAATATTAGCGAACTCTCACGATGTGAGATTTTTCAGCCGCGAAATCACCGAAGGTGAACGTACGTCACATTCAATATTCAATTCCGACAATATCTGTTCCAGCGCCTCTACATTACGCTCCATTGTTTCCTCGACACTTGGACGAGTTTTCGATTGTCTCTGCAATATTGTTAGTTGTTGCATTAGCTTTTTAAAAGTTTAGCAATCACTTTTCTGTCTGATTTTACGTGTGATACCCTTACTTCATACTGATCACCAATAGAACGATCTAAGAAACGAATAATTCCAGAAGCATCCCATGCCATCAGATCTGGGTTATATGTTCCTTTCTGCTTCAGTTCAGTAACCAATTCTTGTTGCGATAATTGGCGACATTCTTCAGCCGTACTATTTCTCTGAAAACAACGATGGACAGTTGAAAATTCTTTATATACCAAAAATTTTAAACTTTTAATTTTTAACAATATTAAAATTTTTATATCACAAAATATTACCCTCGGAACAAATGGTCTACGCCGTTTCTGGAGAATTTCTTCGTCATTAGCTTCACTAAGTGTACGGTTCAGCTCCTCTTCACGCGCCAGACGTATGGCATTGAGACGATCCATGAAAAATGCCGATTCCAGATTGGGTAGTGATGCTGATACGGGAGAATAACGTTTCTGACGTGATACTCGTGATAGTTCGCCGTTGAGCCTTTGCAACAAGGAGCGATAATGACGTCTACAGCTTAGCAATTCGCTCTCTGAAAAATGGCCTTAAAATTTTATCTCATTAATTGAAAACTAAAATTTTAAATATGATATGAAAGCTCAGTACTCTGCAAAAATGAATGAATATGGAGCCGCATACGACAACTGAGGACGATATTTTCGAAGAGTAATGTTGAAAAATTGAATGTTTGAAATAACCTGATGCTGATGAGAGATCAATTTGTGTACAGGCAGCAACCTCGTTTTGTTGATGTTGATCGGCTGTTAACATTACACTATGAAGAGTGGATGCGGTGGACAGTAGCATGGCGATGAAACAAATACGAAATGCTGTCGAAGTACGAAATACTGACAAAAGGGTCGTTTCCTTACGAGTAAGTAAAACTACACCTGAGGTCTTCGTGCACTTCCACTTGATCATTATGCGGTGATTGTTCCACACGAGCACTTCTTCACCTCTATCGTGGTCGTTTAGCATAAATCCAACTGTGCCACCGGGTGCTGGTACACATCTGATATCTGTAAATGATGAAAACAAGTCATCTGATTTACCGAAGGCTAACAATACTACTTCCTGTTTGCAAGTGTTCCAGAAGAGAGAGAGAGAGAGAGAGAGAGAGAGAGAGAGAGAGAGAGAGAGAGAGAGAGAGAGAGGATGGCAGTGTTTTCAATATACCATCAGTATCTCTCGAAGAATGGAGCAGGATTGCTTTGGCTATCTATCTTCCTACCTTTTCAGTCCTTCTTCAATTCTCCTACAACGCGCCAATAACTCACCGTGCTATAACCCAAACGATCCTGTTCATCATTCCGAATCTCAAGACAAGATAGTCAATTACATGTCGCCAGGAGGCTAAATTTCAAGTGATCGGAAGCGACGAAGCAGTCGTAAAAAAGGGAAGAGGGAAAGCAGGGCAATGGATCAAAGAATCGATCATATCGCCGTGATAAGAATGATACCTATGACTATTTTGGATCTGACTGCAAATCCAACGCACTGATACACTCCATGAAAGGAAGGGAAAATGCTTGCAAGGGGAAACTGCAGGAGGGGAAAGCATAAAAACTGAGCAGAGAGATAGCGATAAACATCAACATTAAAAAGAGATTCATTCGTGTATTATTGCGCGGAATGGGATAGATCGGATAGCAGCGATCACCCGCGAGGGAACATCGTCGTAGGAGAGGACGATCGCATCTCACCATCATCGCCCTCATCGCTGATAACACCAGCATCATCACTGTCACCAACCACCATCACCATCATCATCATCATCATCATCATCATCATCA